GGGGTGGGGTGGGTGAGCCCCAAAAGCATGCAAAGCCGTGATCTGTCTGTGATCTGTCTGTGTACGTGCACGGCCACACAACACGCCAGCATGCAACTCCCATCTTGGTCTAGGCCGCCCCCGTGCATCTGGCCGACAATGCAGGCGCGCGCTCGACTGCGACCAGCTCTCACCCTCAGAAACTCCTCTTGGGGTGGGTCAAACCCCGCCCCCTCGCGCCCGACCGTGATCGCAACCCGAGCGTGCACGTCCGGCCGCATCAGGTGAGATCTTACGCCCTCGACCGCCGAGATCACGAGATCCAGGTGGCTCTGGAGCACGAGGCAGTCCAGCAGTCGCAGGAAGCCGGGCAGAAGCTGGGCCTCCTCCAGGGCGGAGCGGTGCAGCGCGGCGGCGGCCTCGCGGTCGGCCTTGACCTGTATGGATGCAGGTCAAGTTGAGTGACCACGTGGGTGTTTGGATTAGGTGTTGATGTCAAAGTTGAGTGGATGTGTGGTCGTTTATTCCGTGCACTCCATGTCAATCGGCTGCCACACGCGCTGACACCACATACAAGTTTTGGAAGCGACGCCTCGGGTGGGCCTGTCGGGCGCGAGAGGAGGGCGCCGGTGCAGGAGCTCCGGGAGAGCGGAACCAGCGTCGCAGCGCGCGCGGCGCGGGGCCGAGCCTCACACAGGCGCCCTGCCCTGGGCGCGGGATGCGCCGCGCTGCGACGCCCCTGGGGCGCGCCCGCACCTTGATGGGGTTGGCGCCCTTCATTGCGCCCGCAGAGGGGTCCCGGTCAAACTCCTCCACCTGGCAGACCCAAACGGCGGGCGCGCGTCGCAGCCGTGAGCCGCGGCTGGATGGGTGTGTCACGGCGCGTCACACGGCAGTCGTGCTTTCGGTGCGAGAAGCACAACCAGATCCATCCGGCTGCTCGCATCAACGTGCGTCGGCACGCAGTCAAACGAAGCGAATCGGGCGACACTGATTATTGCCATCTGGAAAGCCTCAAATGTGTACTGCCAGGACGCCATCTGCCCCCCCATCGGGCGGGGCAGGTCAGGCGGTGCGCGCGTACCAAACAGCCGACCATCAACGCGCCGCACGCCGCCCAACCGGCCCACCTGCGCCCGCAGCGCTGCCTCGCCCCTGGTGATCTGGCCCGCCAGCTGCTGCGCGGCCGCCGCGATGGCCGACATGTTTCGGGCCATCAGCAGCGCCAGGCGGCCCCTGGGCAGCATCATAGAGGGGCGTACGCATGCGTACAGCGAGGTTGGCCGTGTCGATCGCAGGCGGCGACGACCGGACGCGCGCAGTTCGGCGTGGACACGAGCCAAACGCCACGACCAGCGCGCAGCCTCCCCCCGCCGAGCGTGGGGTTGGCCGTCAGCGCGGCGCCACGCTCCCGTCCTGCAGCCCCGGCACCCCTGGCCTCAGGCCGCGCCCCACCCCCGTCCAACCCCTCAATCAAATTCCTTGAACCCTGATAGGCCTGCTGGCTTCGACGTCACACCAGCTTGGAGCCACCAACGTCGTCATGCCCGGCTGCTGATGACGCTATGACGCCGCGCCCACCTGTGGTGCTCCTGCTGCGCCTGCACGAGCGACTCCAGCCGGTACAGCCCCTCCCCAGGCAGCGCCCCTGTGGCCCCTGCCTCCCCGACTTCCCGCAGCCGCGCCCGCGCCTCCATGAGCGCCCCGCGCATGCCCGGCCGCAGCAGGATGAGTCGGCGCGCGAGCCGCTCCCGCGCGCGCTCGAAGCGGCGCCGCCGCGCGGCCTCGTGCCACCTGCGCGCTCGGGCGAGTGGGGAGCAGCGATCAGGTGAACGGGCAGTCCTTTTGGCCCCACAATGTCTCAAACGTCAGACGCAGCTTCCGCACATTGCAACATTTGATCAAGTGGCGGCTGCTAGCATAGCAGCCTGCAGTGCAAGGCGACTCTCGGCCCCTGTGCGCCCTCAGCGGCCCCGTCCTTAGTCCCCAGGCAGCCGTCCTATCACCTGCGTATGCTGCTGCCCATCCATGCCTGTTTGAACGCCGCAAGCCCCCGCAGCAGCGAGTGCATGCTGCTGCACCGCAGCCACTCCCCGACGGGTGTATGCTCGGGCGCGCAGCCCGGCTGCACCTGCGGGACGGCGGCGCGCCGTTCACATCGACAGTTGACATCACGACCATCGAAGCGAGAGCCGCTTCGATCACAGCACACCTGCTGGGATCGCAGTGGGCCCCCTAGCAGTTACTACAAATGGAGTGCCTGTGCCATCCCACGCCGTGCCAACCGGCCCGGCTCGGTGTGACGATTGCCCGCCCCGCCGCCGCGCCCGCCGCCGCGCCCGCCGCAGGGCCCGCGCCCGTGCCCGCCGCCGCCGCCATACCTCGATTAACCCGGTGGCCGAGGCTGTGAAGGACCGCCGCACGGCAGCTGCCTCTTCACGGCCCACGACCTGCGACGATATTGGTGCACCAAGCAAAACATGTCGCCGCCGGCCAGGCGCCGCACTGGCGGTTTGGGCGCGCGCGCGTGTGCGTCTGCCAGCGATCAAAGCGCCGTCACGGCCTGCGGGCCCTTGCCCAGCAGGCGGCGCTTGCGTGCTATCTGAAGCGCTCATGCGGCAACTTGCTCAGTCGAGCGTCGCGCGCACGACGGAGGGGCGGGCACGTTTGTTACGGCTTGGAACCCCAACTCTCAGGTGTCAACCGGGGTGCAACGTTACAAGAGAACGATTCAACGTCACTAGCACAACATCTCACCTCCAATGCATACGGGTCCATCAATGGCTCCTGCGCTGCGGCCGCTGGCAGCAAATAGAACAGCCGGCGCCCGCCAGAGTGGCCGTGCGCCGCAAAGTGCCGCAGGGCGTCCAAGGCCTAAGCGTTCGGGGCGGGGGCATTTGGAGTTGAGGTTTTGCATCCAGAATCAGAAACCTATACCCTGTTCTCTTGTGATCATGACATCTGCACGCTGTGAGGCCGCCAAGGGAGGAAGTTTATCACCGGCAAACTGTTGGGCAATGCCATGCTGGGTGCAGGCTCACCGTCTGAAGTTGTTGAACGGCTGCACCTGGCTGGTCTCCCACCTCAACCTGCTGCTGCTGCTGCTGCTGCTGCTGCTGCTGCTGCTGCTGCTGCTGTACGGTTGCCAAGGGGACACTCCTTGCCTCCCTGGCTCCAGCGGAACGCGGCCGCAGCTGCTGCTGTCCCAGCCTTGGAGATGCTGGGCGAATATAGAGCGCCGTGCGTGGTGATGAGCTTCCAAAGCGACTGGCCACGGCCGCTGCCGCCGCCGCCTGCAGTGCAGCTGCATCCTGCGTGTGTACGGCGGGCAAGTCGAACGTGTGCAGTGGCAGTGGTTCGCAGCGCTGCAGTACACCTGAAGCGAACGGACCACGCCAAGTGCCTATAAACACCGTCAATTGCATTCTCACATTTGCTACGGGCGTCTTGCAGCGCTGCTCGGACCTTGGGGAGGCACCCGCTGAGTAGATCATTTCACTTGACCGTTTTGACTACATCATTTATAATGCTGAAAAACAGCAACAACGACTCAGTGCTGGTTACACGAGCACCTGCTCGGTTGCGATCATCGGAAGGCACTGCACGCACCAGGAGGCGCGCTGCTCTGCTCTCACAGCACGAAAACTCTGGAACCGCTTTCAATAAATATCACGCAGCTGCAAATCTCGGCCGCTGATTCAAGGTGCCGACCAGGTCCCGCTGATGTGTACCGCCTGAAGACGAATCCGCTGGCTTTCTGGGATGTCACCGGTAGTTCCCAGCCCTCATCGACTGGCAAGACGCTGGATCGACACCCCTGCACTCAAGCGATCTATAATGGCTTTCATGACTGCAGCGCGCACTCTGCCACGCACTTGGGCTGCACGGCATGGGCTGTCAGAGCGCTGCTGCACATAGTCTCCAAAGCAGGAAGCAGCAATGCATCAGGGCCCCTGTTATATACTGCAAAGCACCGTGGCCGGCACTCAACCCCCTGCAACACCAATCTTTAATACTGGCTTGGTGGGCATTGTCTAGATTACAGGTAGTGGGTTTAGAGGTAGTGGTGAATTTCTTGCTGGTTTTTGTGTCGTGTTGTCACTGATTGTTCCTTGCAGTGACAAAGCACAGTGTCAACGCAAGCCAGGTCAGCAACGCCCCTCAAGAGTATCAAAACGCGCCACACTTTCTCAATCCATCCACTCCTCGGTGTCCGCGCCCCCCTCCACCACCACCATCATCCTGTGCACCCTCACCAGCCCCGCCGCGCCGCCGGCGGCCAGCTGGCACGCGCCGCCCACCACGTTCGGGCTGAACGCAGCCCCAAACAGCGCCTGCCGCGGGTCGTGCAGCACGCCGCGCCGACCCGCAGACTCCGCGGCCCCGTCGCCGCCGCGGTGCATCGCGCCGCCCGCGTACAGCCCGGCGTTGCCCGGCAGCTGCTCCGCGGCCAGCAGCCACGCCTCGCCGGCGCCGTCGACGGCGATCGCGGACACGGCCGCCGCGGGCTTCTGGTGGCGGCGGTTGATGAGGGGCGGCTCCACGGGGACGATCCCGAGGATCCCCGCATCTCCACAGTAGGCAGCCACCCGCTGCGCTGGGTGATACGACACCGCCCAGACGGGCGAGGGGTCCGGGCCTGGGGGAGTGCGGAAGTCGAGGGGGCAGCTGCGGTTGGAACAACCTCCCAAGAGCGGCGGGCGCGCGGTCCAGGGGTGGAGGGGGCCGTCGTGCATGTGCTCCCCTTATGGCAAACGCTGCTGGCCGATGTCCAAAGCACAATCCATCCTGTTCGAAAGATGACCATCCTCTAGAGAACAACGCGCAGCCTGGCGCGTCGCGGCCGCAACCACGCCCACCTTCGAGGCAGATGTGCGACTGCCTGCCGTGCTGCCGCTGCACCCCGAGGATCGCGGCCAGCCCCGTGAAGACGACGCGCACGCCGCCGTCCGACAGGGTCGCCACGATGGCGCCTGGGTCCCGCGCCCACACGCAGCCGGTGACGGGCACCTGGCACCGGGTGACATTGGTGGGGGGGGGGGAGAGATGAGGATGCAGGGCTTGGCTTGGTGGTGCGATATGAAATGCATACAGAATGGTCGACGGCCGCCGCAAAAAGGGAATGCGATGCAGTGCAGGAGCGCCACGCGTCGCTGCCTGCCGGCAGGCAAGAACCACGCGTCCTCCTGCTGCGAGCCGGCAAATGCCCTTGGCGGAGGCAGCCAGACGGTGGCACAGCCAATAAGGTGTGTCCGCGTCCTCCACCCTGCGTTATGTCTCCACTCTCCGTCTCCCCCTTCTCCGCGTACTTGGCGGTGTGTCTACCGCCAACGCCCCACCTTGTTCATTGCACGCGAGTGCACCGGCGCAAACGGGTCCTCCGGGTCCCAGATCTTCAGCTCGCCCCACTGAGAAGCTGTGAGGAAGCTGCGCAGGCGGCCGGGGCCCGGAGACCCGCCACCGCCCGGCCCCGTCGCGGCCTCCTCGTGCTGCTCTCGCCCCTCCTCTGCCTCACCGGCTGCCGCCTCCGCCGCCGCTGCTGGTGACGCTGCTGCTGCTGCTTCTTCTGACGCGTCCTCTTCCTTAGCTTCTGAGTCAGCGACTGGCGGGTCGGGCTGCCAGCAGACCCGGCGGACGGCACACTGGTCTGACCGCACCCGCAGCACCAGCTTGGGCGCGGCCATGCCTGAGCGCGAGCGATGGTTTTTTTGTGCGTGTTAGTGTGTGAGTGAGTGAGTGTGTGTGTGTGCGGGGCGGTCGTGCTTCTGTGAGGAAGAGAGCTGTTTCGGAATCAGATGCTGTGGCTGTTCCGTGACAGTCAGACATTCAAAGCTGAGAGGTGAGGCTGCGGCGCGACAGGTTGCATGTAGGTACAATCAACATGTGGCTGCAAACTTCGCTGCAAGCAAGCCAAGTTGCAGCTACACGCAGCTGCAGCAAAGCAGCTGCAGCACTCGTGCAGTCCCAGGGGCCCCCGACACCCCTCACCTCCCCCCGCCGTCGGCAGCCGCCACACCGCCACGTGCCCGTCCCAGCTGCCCACCAGCAGGCAGTCGTGCGGCACCCAGGGCGCCCACGCGCAGCAGCTGGCTAGCGACCCGCCCATGGCTCCCGCCGACAGCGACGCGACGGGCGCGAGGTCCAACACCGCGCAGCCCGCCGCTGCCGCTGCAGCCGCGGCCGCGGCCGCCGCCGCGCCTGCATCCCGCCCCTGCCCCTGCCCCCTGCCCCTGCCTGCCGTGGCGGCCACCTCCTCCTCCTCGTCCTCCTCGTCCTCCTCCTCCTCCTCCTCGTCCTCCTCCTCCTCGCCTTGTCCTGCTAACCGCCGCGCGCGGGCTCGGCCGGCTGCTGCTTGCGCTTCGGCAGCCCCTGTGTCTGGCCCCGCCGCAGCGCCCGCCCCGAGTGGGGCAAGCTCCTGCATCCCTGGTACCGCGTAGATTTGGACGCTGCCGTCCCCAAGCACTGCCGCCAGCAGCCCCTGCAGCCGCACCCGCGCCCCGCCACCCCTGCTGCCGCCGCTGCGGCTGGCAGCGCTCGGCGCGGCGTCAGGGAGGGTGCCGTCCGCCAGCGCAGCGGCGCCGCCTTGAATCAGGGCTGAGGGGTCGGGGCACCATTTCACGTCCCACGCCAGCCGCCCGCCATGCCGCAGCAGCGCCAGGCACCGCGGCAGCGCCGCCGCCGGCGCGGAAGCCGCGGCCGAGGCGGCGGAGGCGGGCGCGCTGTGCGGCACGGCCCACAGTTGGAGCGCGCCCGGCCCGCGGTGAAACGAGCCGAGCCGCGTCCGCGGGACGCCTTTGGGGTGTGTCGACAGCGCCAACAAGTCGCATGCATTGCGGGGCCCTGGCGGCGGCCGGCCGGCCGGCCACGGGCACCAGTCCAGCGCCCAAACGGGCGCGCCTGCATTCAGCACCGAATCCGTCACAAACTCCTGCCGCTCGCGCGCGGCCCGCGGCTGCTGCTGCCGCTGCTGCGGGCCGCCACCACCGCCGCGGCGTGGCGGCGGGGGCGGGGGCGGCGAAGCGGCGGGGGGCGGCAGGTCGCAGGCGCAGCGCTGGATGGCTTGGGCGCTGAATAGCCCCATGGGGCGGCCCTCCAGCTGCTTGGGAAGGTGAACAGGCAGCGACTCTGGCTGCGCGTGTCACAGGCAGCAGGGTGACGGTGCGTGGCGTCATGCGCGGCAGGGGCGCCGAAGTGACGAGCGGGCACGCACTACAACCGGTGCACAACAATGGCGCTGGCTCGCGCGCACCGCCTCGCCAGGGCGCCCCCCGCGCGCCTGCAGGTTTGAGAGTGCGTCAGAGGCGGTCGCCAGCCTCAAATCCGCGGCTTCCAGGTGCCAGCCCTTGTGACCATGCTGTGCGTCGACGCCGTGCTGCTGCTCATGCTGAGCCGCCCCGCCGGCCCGCCGGCCCTGGCGCTGCTGCAGCACCATTTATCAATCGTATAAAACTGATACAGAATGAAGCAATCTATGACACGGCTGCGCCTCAACCGTGCTTAGGGACAGATCAGAGCGCGGCACTTGGATCGAGGCGTTGGATCTGTGCCAACCAGCGGAAGGTCCCGGTAAAGCAGTAAGACATATGCGGTGCGAGTGATGAGCAATGTCAATTCATGAGCAACAGCGTTGTGTACCCGTTCCATGTCCACCCCTTCCAACATGGCACTTGGCACTGGACCGTTTCCAAGCCCAGCTGCAGGCGCGTCGCCACACTTTTGTGCGCACACGCCCTTCCACTCCTTGGCCCACCCTCCAGGGTACCGGGCTTAGGCACCACCTGACCTGGCATACACAACCACATCGGAGTGTAAGGGGTTGCAGCAGCACCGACTCCCAAGGGCCGAGCCCTGACTTTTCGGCGGTGCTGCGCCGCCATGCTGTGGCAACCCAAAGTTCGAGGCCCTGGCGTCCATTTTCCCACTCCTCAGGCAGAACCAGGGCATTAACAACGCAACACAAGGCCGCAGCCTCCCTCGCGCCCTCTCGATGTCCATGAACGCGCTCGTTTACCGGAGCAACTCCCTAGCAAGCGGAGCCATGTCCTCCAAATGGCGGCGACATGCCACAAGCGCCCACAAGCGCTGCCGCGGCTCCGCCCTGCTCGCACGGCCACGCCGCGACAGCCGCGTGGCGGAATCAAACGTGGTGACGTCATCGCTACATCATCCGGATCTCGTAGTTGCCCGCGGTGGTTATGTAGCGCACCCAGGGCAGCGCCTGGTAGCCGCTCTTCTCGATCACTTTCAGGTATCGCACCTGTGAGTCATGGCGGTTTCAGGCGCTTTCAGCAGTTGCGGCGGTTTGATGTTGTTGGGGTCAGGGGGGGGG